GATCTCAAGCACAAAAAACATGGACACATAAAAACCTTTTTTTAAAGTTCCATCTCTGCATTTGCATCTAACCATTACTCTCATTTCCAAAAAAAAAAAAAAATACTTTCATTCTTATTTGTTTTATTTCTATAGTATTCTTTATTCTTAGAATGCTGGTTATTCCTTCAAGTGCTTCAACACTTTCTAATATCTCTGAGGGGCAGGTCCTTTGTGGAGCCTGGTCATGACCATCTCTGCTCAACCACTCCTCCATCCTACTTCCAAGTGAATATGGTCTCTTTAGTAGTCCTCTACTTATTTGTGTATAACTTTAAATAAATTTTTTCTCCTGTTGCCTATGAGCTTCTCTTACCCATCTTTAAAATACTAATAATCAGTAGGTTCCACCCACTAAGTGTTTTAGAAAAAAATGAAGAATGTAAGCTCTATGAATATATCTTTGTTGTTACTATATTTTCAGCATCTAATAATACTTAGAGTAATCAGTCCTCAATTATTATATTCAAAGAAGAAAGGACTTTTCATTGGTTCACATTTGTAAAATCAAATGGTGTCTATGTGCTTCCATGTGCAAAACAAAAGATCCATGAGCAATATCCTAGTGTGTATGCACCTGTGTTTGTATGTATATTTGTTTGTATGTAAGTGTAGATTTGAAGGTGAGAAAATATACACATAATTAATGAAATAAAAAAGATAATTTCAGATGTTGAAAAGTATTATGATAACAATAAAACACATTGATTTAGGCTGGAATATTTTAAATAGTTGGGAAAATCTTTACTGAACCAGTAATGTTTGAACTGTTACTTCTGGAAAGAAGAAATGGCCATTTACATTTCTGGCTCAGTAGTTTTTCAGGAAGAGGAAACAGTAACAACAATAAGGTAAACAGTGAATGATGGATTTGAGAAAGAGAAAGAACACAAGTGTGCGTGGCATATGTGTACAAGGACCAAAGTCAACCTGTGAATTACTTGTTAAAATTAACACGTAAACAAGAACAAGTAACAAGTAAACCAAGTAAAACAGGTAAACCAAGTAAACAAGAAACTATCATGCATAGGCTGACTAAAAGCAAGAGGCCGAAGGAAACAGCCCCATGATTCACATTCACCTTGAATGTCTAGAGTTTCTAATTCAATGATTGTTGAGAGTGCCCTCTTACTTTGTCCACTGAATCCCCTGACTTCAAAATTCCTCACATCAGCATTTTTATTTCCCTGATAGTTGTGCCACCAAGACTTATTAGTAATAAAATTGTGCACAAATTGTGCAAATCATCCTATAGGTTACTGCATGGTGAAAGCTCTCTGATCCAAGGCTTTACTGGAGGGAGGCAAGTCTAACTTATGCAAATTGGAAGATGATGACTCGATTGTAATTATCACCATGGGCTAAACAGTGGAAACTATGGGTATGTTACTTGTAGTACATTTCAGTCTACCTAAACATTAGTTTTTGACTATTGTTCCTGTCTGTTAAGGCCTGACGTTTCTTTGGTTTCTGGTGTCTCTACTCTTTGGGGAAATACATTACATAATTAAGGTGGGGGTTGTAACTGATTGCCACATTTATAGGTACTTAGATTCATTCATATATCCACTTAAAATACAGCCTGTAGAACGTCAACAGTGAACTCTATTAACATATTTCTATAAACCATGCAGATCTTATTGACCAAGAAGCCATCAGGTACCCTTCTGCTTTTTTATTAGTGTGGCCTGTTTATTCCTCTTTGCAGGTGAGTTTTATGGAATTCTGGAACAGACCGGTCAATGACTGAAGTTGTAACATGATTTTCTTTATGAAGATAATAAAGATGGTTAATCATAGTGACTACAAATCACACTTTTAATTTAGAAGGATTTTTTATTTATAAATTAGCTCCTTTAATTTTCACTAAAATGCTAGGGAAGAGATAGCTTTATCCAATTCAAAAAGCAATGTTACATGTAAAAATGAGAAGACCTGCTCAAGGTCAAACAGGCCTCTTAATCTAGGAGTCCCAGGATTAGGAGTTATGTTCCCCTTAGTAAACCACAATTAACAACATACGTTTACAGACAAGTTTCATCTTTAAAAAAATAAATGTATATTGAATCAGAAATTCTCATCTTAAGTCACCTCCAACAAATTATTGTCTAAAGAGCTTCAACCGCTAGAATTTTGCTGAGATCCTCCTATTTTACAAATAGCTGTTGTTATTTTTTACTCTCTGGGTAGGCAAAGTGAAGAGATGACTAGATAGGTAAGTATATAGAGAAAGAGGAGAGAGAGAGAAAGACAGAGAGAGAGAGATTAAGATTAACTTGCATAACACATAGCTAAAAAAGGACAGACACTTTGGGTCATTTGACTCCATTGCTATTGTTGTTTCCACCAAGTATAATGACTACTGAAAGAAAAGCCTTGGTCTATCATTTCACTCCAAGACATATGAAATACATTATCCTCCTCCTTAAATATGTGGGTGTGGTGAGCCTGCTCCAAGCCAGAATTTTGACCTTACTCTCAAATGTGAAGGAGAGTAAAAATGGAAGACAATTCCACAGGTGGGAAAATTTCCATTATTATAAGAAAAATTTAATGTTTCAGTTAAGATAACTGTAGCATCTAAAAAAAATTTGTCAAAAAGCCTTCTGAAATGATTTGGAAAATAAGTACATAAGGAGAGATGGAGCAATCTTACTCCATGCAACCAAGAACACCTTCAACAAATAGACAGTCTCTAAGACCTCAGAGTATGAACTTGATGAGAATTTACTTTATTACTGCCCGACCTACAAGACACTCAACAACATTTATTATTGATATTGCTATTGTGTTGTATCAGCAGTGCTAGGGTTAGAAAAAAGCATGGGCAGGACAGATGAGAGCACTGAGTGTTTAAGAGGCAATTGTTTAGGCAAAATACAAATGCATCTGTTGTGACCCATTTGTTATTTGGAAATTTACTACATTGAGTTCCATTAATGAATATCTGCATGTGAAAATAACTTCTATAAAATTTACCTATTTTGATAGAGATATAGTAGAAAAAATATAGCAAAATGTTAATTGACTAATCTTGATGGTGTGTGTATTGATTAGCTCATTTTCATGCTGCTTATACCGATATACCTGAGACTGGGTAATTTACCAAGAAAGAGGTTTAATGGCCTCACAGTTTCATGTGGCTGGGGAGGGCTCACAATCATGGCAGAAGGCAAAAGGCATGTCTTACATGGAGGCAGATAAGAGAAGAGAGAATCAAGCAAAAGGGGTTTCTCCTTATAAAACCACCAGATCTTGTGAGAATTATTCACTAAACAAGAACAGTAAGAGAGAAACTGCTGTCATTATTTAATTATCTCCCATTGGGTCCCTCCCACAACATGTGGGAATTATGAGATTCAATAAGAGATTTGGGTAGAGACACAGCCAAACCATATCAGTGGGTTTTCATTGCAGAATTCTTTAATTTTATCTGTATATTACAGCAGATCACAATAAAATTTTTGAAAAATTAACCTGAGCTGTAAGTGTGTATATATACACAAAAACACACACACACATACACATACACATGTATTTGTTTGTATATATATAAACAATCCATCCATATATGTTTGAGTGTGTATATATATTTATGTGTGTAAAATATATATATATATATATTTGTGTGTGTGTTTGTTATATAAAAATCCAACTCTATCTGGTTCCATAAGTTTCCTTTGATACTCATGTGAAATCCAGTCAGTTTAGAAGATAATTATGCAGGGAGAAAAGGTTGCTTTCTTACTATAGGAAACTTAAACTTTGTCTCTTTTGATGCCATAAAATTGCTTGTTTGATTAAAAGAAACCATCTATTATTTTCAAACTTCTCCTTCTTCTAATTAGTTGAAGAGAAAATCAAACACAATCCAGAACCACTAAATCTGAAAGTCTTAGAATTGGAAGTAATTGGAAAAATGGTCTAGTTCATCTCTCCTCCCAAAGTTGAAATTTTCTTTAGAACTCTAAAATATTTATCCTGAACTTCCTTATACTATTTCTGCTCTCTGTAACTAAACAGTTCAAATGATATCTTTCTTCTCCATAGTGATGCCCTTGAGAAGATGCAGCCAATGACCGTAACACTCCTGAGCTTGTGCTTTTCTGAGCTTACATTTCCTACTGCCATAAATCTACTTCATGCTTTATGGTCTCCAGACCTCACATTATCAAAGTTATCTTTTGGACATGCTCCAATTGATTCAAGGTTCTCTTATTTAGAGAAACCAATCTTGAAGACAATATTCCAATGTCTAATAACATTGAGCTTATGACCAACTAAAAATCCCAAGGTGATTTTCCCATGAGCTGTTGTTTGACGTAATAACTTGAAGCAACAATGCCTATTGTGTAATGTTATTTCTTAAACATGAGTTCTACTGTCTCCTGTTACCTCATAAAACTGCATTACTTGTCATCATTCATCTTGATGAATACTGTATGCATTCATTACTACTAATGACAAATATTCAATGCATTTTTACTTGCTTTTAAAAGATAATTTAAGGTAAATAATTGACACATAAATCACTTGAAAGTTTCTCTTGTGGCCATATAAACGTGGAGAACAAATAACACTAACTAAAGATAAGCCATCCCTTAACAATAAAAAAGTGAACACCGAATTTACCACTTTCCCAGATGGGTTTCATCATTTTAATTTTCTTCTGGAAGGAAGATATCTAATAGACAGATATTAAAGTTTGAATATTTATGGGAGTTGGGGCATGGATGGAGCTAGTTTTGAAAATGACAGTTTATTCAAGAAGCAATACCTTCCAGTTTGTGAAAATTACTCTGTAATTTATTAAAGACAGTGACAGTGTTTTCCAGTTAGGGTGAAGAATTTTTTCCAATATATAACATGGTGGTAGTGAGCATGGTTTCTTTGAAGAGCACCTACTGCAGAGTTAGGCTTAACTCCACCCAACAGCCAAGTCTGAAACAACTGGCGGTACCATGAGGGCTTTCGTTTTCTTTCTCTTCATGCTCCTGGCCATGTTCTCAGGTAAGAAAGTCACAGTCAATAGCTTTCCTTCCAAATCTCAAAGTAAAGAATTAAAAATGTTAAGTGATTTAGCAATATGTTGTCAAAATATTTAAAAATAGGCAATCCATTAGACAGAGAAATGGAAGAAGGTAAATTTCCAACAAAATAAATGTAGATCCAGAGTCATAAAAACAGTGACTGAATGAAATAAGAGTGAATAGTTTGGTGTGGCTGAAGAGAAACAGATACAAGGGAATAGGAAAGGCAAGACATTAGACTGGAAAGATGAATTTAGACTAAGGGACTTATGAGTTTGTGAATGTTCAAGTTCATAATTTGTAAGGAAATGGTTTTGTGATATGATCCTGGGTTGCATGTAAAATAATAATCTGTTCAAATCCTGATTCTTTTTCCCATTCATGTGATTCAAGAAAACTTGTTTAACCTACTTGAATCTCAATTTTCTCATTTGCAAAATGGAAATTATTATTCTTTCCTATAGGATTGTTTCAGGAACTATACAGATAATAGCTTTAGTTACCATTACTTGTGTTTTCTTAGGTACTTGACTGTCTTAGGTACTTTTCGCTATTCCTTACCTCAGTAAAGTTAAGTGATTTTCAGACATGTAAATTTCTAGCTTTGAGATGTAAATATCTCAAGGTAATAAACAACACAGTTAATATGTTTCTCAAGACAAAAGTTACGATAATGAAGCTGATTCTAATTTATCCCCAAATCATAAGCTCTGACTTGACCATCTTTCTTATACCTAGTGAAATGACATAATAAAAGTAAAGTGCCTCAGATCCCCCTCTTCTTATATTTATAACATCAAAATAGTGGTTCTCTTCTCATTGGAAAAATTGCAAAGCTGTTTCAGAGTTTTGAGTACAAGAGTGATAATATTCATCTTGTTAAGAAATATCCGTCTTGTGGTAATATTAAAAATGAATTACATGTAAGAAAAGTTGTACAGTAATGCCACTGAGGAGCTGCTGAAGTAACAGAGTCAAGAAAAAAAAGGAGAGTTAAGTGATAGAATTAGAGAAAAGAGGAGAGCAATAGGGGTGTGTGTGTGTGTGTGTGTGTTTGTGTGTGTGTGTGTTTTAAGGGGGAGAAACAGATATTCAGATAAAATTCCTTTATAGAACATATATTTCATATTTCATGGTGGCAAGTACTAGAACTGTTGTGACCTTCAGTGCCTTGCTAAGTGCTAGAAGGTATTTTGTGATGGAAGAAAGTGTATTAACTAATACCAGATTCAGTGATTATGTAGATTGGAAGATGAAGAAGAGAGATGAATCAGAAAAGCAATGCAAAGCACATCCTAGAGTTTGTAAAATCAGAAGGGAAGAAATGCAAAATAAAACAAAGCTGAAGATACTTATTTTCCAAGTTTTTAGCTTAAAAAATAGATGGTGAAACCACATTATAATATCTTAATTGCCTCTTATTACTCAAAAATGTACCCCTAGTTTTTATTTAATAAATTTACTTATCTATGTAAGAAATGATGTATTATTAGGATTTTCATTGATTCATTACTTACGATAGCAAAAGAGGGAAATAAACTACCTGTTTATTACTAGAACACTGGTTAAGTAAATTATGGTAAACCCATAAAATAGGATACTATGCAACCAGTGAGGGGAAATAAATAAACATGCTCTATATGTATTGATGTAGCACAACCTTCATTATATTGGTTGTCCTTGGAGAAAACAAGAACTCTGTAGATTGTGCCACCAATTGTGTGGATAATTATATTCATATATGTTTGTAAACACATAGGATATCCATCAAATAATTCACAAAAACCTGTAAATGTGATGGTGTCTTAGGCACTTTACTTTTACCATTTCCTAGGAAATAGGAAATAATTACGTCCTAGGTAGGAAATTATTTTTGTGGGGAATTTGGAGTGGGGGTACAGACCGGAAAGAAAAGGAAAGTAATTTTAAACTGTTTACTCTTTGTATCTTTAGGATTTGGCTCCATTTACTTGTGTCACCTGTTAATAAAACTGAAAATCATTAATAAAAATATGTTGCCAACTTTTTTTCCTATTTCATCCATATATCTACTTTAATTGATTTCTACTTGGTGTTAGTAACTGTTAATGAGCAATGTTTTATTCCTAGAACTGAAAGAATCCATACATGTACTCATCTCTCAGCTAAAGAAAATTATTTTTGCTCACTAATTTCTCTGATTGAATCTTACGTTTCTTATGTACTCCTCCTCCGGGAAGAAGAAAGGATTCCATACTCTCTGCTTCCTTGCTTAGGAGACTATTGTCTAGTTTACTCCTCATATGATAGCATTGATCATTCTACTAGAATATAAAGTCCTACTTATTTGCCCAACTACTCGACTTCTCAGCTTCATGTGGGCAGGGCCATGAATATCTTGTTCATTCCTAGCTCTTTCTAAGGTTCTTTTATAATAACAAATTCTTTAAATTTATATTTTTTGTTAAATTGAATGAATGTCTAAATTATACCCACAAACCATATCCACACTATACCACAGTTTAGTTAAGCAGGTTGCTAGCTACTAAGTTTCTGTGTCTTGACTAGGACCTTAATCACCTGCAGTAGTATACCATAGCATGCTCAGTGCATACCAATTGAGTATCATTTGACTTTACTTAAATTGACTTGAAGGTACAAATGTGTATATTTATGGAAATGTAAAGCAGAGCAATTGAAAATTCAAGTGAGACCCTAAGTATACATCTGAAATAATCAACATCGGGATGATTTAAAAACTCATAGATTAAAAAAACTACCAAGAAAGCCTATGCAGAAAACAAAATGTAAGCCTAATTAAAACCTTTAAGAGAACCCCACATTAGGAAAGAGAATAAAGAAAGAGGAATTATCAAGCAAGAAAGAAAGGATGAGAAAAATAACACTTCTACCAAAAAAAAAAAAAAAAAAAAAGGATAAGAAGCATAGACCTAATGCATTACTTTTATACTTAGCTCTAAAGTCACTCCATTTGTTTATTTATTGTTTTTTAGATCCTGCTCACTTTGGAATATAATCTGAAAAAACATAAAACATATACACATACACACAATTATATATATTTCATTAGGGCATAGGTGGGCTTCCCAAATAAGTTGGAGAAGCAATAAAACATAGGTTTTAAGAAATAATTGTGATATTTACCATTTTCTTAAGTAGTTTGACTGAAACAGAAAGAAGAAATACAACTACCAGAGAGAGCGTCATTGATCCTAGGCCTTTTGTTGGAAATGGTGAACATAAAGCTGATTGAAAAAACATGTTCTGAAAGAGAAAGAAAACATCTGTTTTGGGGATGGAAATGGAAAGAAAGATGGCTACAGATAACATGTATAGAGATGGAAGAGAGAAGAATAAAGTGGGGCTCACGTCTGCCAGCCTTTTCCTGTCTGGAAAGTTGATGGCGTCACCTTTAAAGTGAAGCTGGAAAATTAGAAATAAAGTACTTGATGTGAAAAAATAAGTTTATAATGAGCATTGAGCAGAGCCAGTTTGATTCATCAGAAAACCACTTAAAGGAATTGGGGTAGAATGAAGGCTCAATTCAAATAATTCAGACTTTATGATTTAGAAATGGGGCAAGTTGGATTGATCCTCTGATTTTTGAAATCCATGTAGTACAGCAAAGAAAAAAAAAAGGAGGAACCCAAATATTCAGGATATGAGGAAGAATAGGAAGATTTTATCTTGGGGTTTGGTTAAAAAAACAAGAAAACATTAAAAACATACTGTATCTTGGACAAATGTTGATTTAAAATTATTTAATGTAAATAACTTTATTTTCATTTTTTCTGGTTGTGTTATTATTCCAGCATCTTCAACCCAGATTTCAAATACCACTGTTTTCAAACTAGAAGAGAATTCAGAACCTGCACTTATTCTGGAGAAAAAAAATGAAGCTAACCATCTAGGAGGACAAAGGGATTCTAATGAGCAAGGAGGTAGTTATACACAAGGAAATCTGGGAACATTTAGTCTTCAAGGACAACCAGGATATTTTAACAAGCTAGAGAAACCAAGAAACTTTAAGCCAGGGAGAGCAGGAGTTTTAAACCAGTCTGAGATTTTAAAAAATTCAGGAAAATCTAACCAAAAAGGGAATCCAGAATCTTCTAATATGCAGGAAAAATCAGGATCTTCTAGCCAACTAGGGAAACCAGGGTTTTCTACCCAACAGGGAAATCCAGGGTCATCTGGCCAACAAGGGAAACCAGGGTCATTTAGCCGGAAAGTGATGGTGGGGTCATCTAGCCAACAGGGGAAGCCAGGATCATCTAGCCAACAAGGGAATCTAGGGTCATCTACCCAGAAAGGGAATTTAGGATCTTCTAGCCTACAAGGGCATCTGGGTTTATCTAGCCATCAAGGGAAGCCAGAGTCATCTGGCCAGCAAGGGAAGCCAGGGTCATCTAGCCAACAGGGAAATCTAGGATCTTCTAGCCAACAAGGAAATCCAGGGTCTTCTAACCAACAGGGGAAGCCAGGGTTGTCTAACCAACAAGGAAATCTAGGATCTTCTGGCCAACAGGGGAAGCCAGGATCTTCTAGCCAACCGGGGAAGCCAGGGTCATCTAGCCATCAGGGGAAGCCAGGGTCATCTAGCCAACAAAGAAATCTACATTTATCTAGCCAGCAAGGGAATCAAGGACCTTCTAGCAAACAGGGGAAGCCAGGGTTATCCAGACATCAAGGAAATCTACGATTATCTAGCCAGCAAGGGAAGCCAGGGGCATCTAGTCAACAAGGGAAGCCAGGGGCATCTAGCCAGCAAGGAGATCTAGGATCATCTAGCCAGCAAGGAGATCTAGAATCTTCTAAGAATCAGGGGAAGCCAGGGTCATCTAGCCAGCAAGGAGATCTAGGATCTTCTAAGCATCAGGGGAAGCCAGGGTCATCTAGCCAGCAAGGAGATCTAGGATCTTCTAAGCATCAGGGGAAGCCAGGGTCATCTAGCCAGCAAGGAGATCTAGGATCTTCTGGCCAACAGGGGAAGCCAGGATCTTCTAGCCAACCGGGGAAGCCAGGGTCATCTAGCCATCAAGGGAAGCCAGGGTCATCCAGCCAACAAGGAAATCTACATTTATCTAGCCAGCAAGGGAATCAAGGACCTTCTAGCAAACAGGGGAAGCCAGGGTTATCCAGACATCAAGGAAATCTACGATTATCTAGCCAGCAAGGGAAGCCAGGGGCATCTAGTCAACAAGGGAAGCCAGGGGCATCTAGCCAGCAAGGAGATCTAGGGTCATCTAACCAGCAAGGAGATCTAGAATCTTCTAAGAATCAGGGGAAGCCAGGGTCTTCTAGCCAGGAAGGAGATCTAGGATCTTCTAAGCATCAGGGGAAGCCAGGGTCATCTAGCCAGCAAGGAGATCTAGGATCTTCTAGGCATCAGAGTAAACCAGGATCATCTAGCCAACAAAGAAAATTGAGGTCACTTTACAACCAACGACAAAGAAAAAATATCGACAACACTTTCAATGGCAATATAAAGGACTTTCAGGTTAGTGTTAATAACTTCTTTTTCTCAGTCAACTTGACCCAGCAATTCTCTTTTCCAAGACTTAAAATGCTTTAAAAACCACAATGTGTTAACAAAAAATCACTTGCAATGACTGATTAAACAAAATGCGAGAACTTTGGAGCTGATTATTTTCATGCATAACACTTATGATTATTAATGAATGTACTGCCCTTCTATTCTATCTTTCATTTCCCTCTATTATTTTCCACTCAAACCTCTCTACCTATACTAGAAAAACTCAAATCCTCATCAAATGAGCCCACAACTTTGCCAAGTTTAGTTTTCATGTCCATTTTTATCCCATCCATAATCTACAAATCACTGAAGTAATATTCCTAAATCAAAAATCCTACCCTACTTGAAATTCCCCAGTGGCTTCATACTACCTAGAAGATGTAACTTAAACTCCTAAACAGAATTTACAGATTTTCATGATTATACTGCATACTGTTTAGCCTCATTTCATGTCACTGTTGCTCACACACCACCCATGTCATACAGAGCCCTTTGATTTTCCACTCATGTATTCCTAATACTAATGATTTCTTCTATTATTAGACACACCTTATTGCTTTGTAATTGAGTGTCTATTTATTCAGCTAGATAATGAACTTCTTGAAGAAAGTACCATTTATTTTCAAACCTGTAACCCCAGAACCTAGAATAAGTGTGGCGTATAGTAAGTTCTCCTGAATTGCATGTTAGATGGATAGTTAAATGCCTGCTACTTGGAAGCCACCATTTCAAATAGGTGAACAGCTATCTGAGGCACATGTCTCCCGTATTCCCTTCTGAGTCCTGCTGCGCTCTTACTTTCACTTGCCTGCCTCTCTTCCAACAATCATCCTCCTAATTTATTTAACAATTGCTTTGAATATGCCATTTGATACTCACATTCAAAACCATTTTCTAGAACACTTTCTCTAACTTATCATCTTAATGGAAACTTTATTTTTTTTACCTCATAAATTTTCATCCCTCACAAGCCTTCCAGACAAAGTCATTTGTTCTCTTAGTTATTGTCACTTGGCTGGCATGAAGTAGCAATCTCTCAGAGAGACTCCCTACCATTCAGATCTTAATGCCATCACCAGCAGGTCTCTGAGTTTTTAGGATGTCACTTAAAATTTTATAATTTTATATTTATTCTAGAATAGGAGAAATAACCATGTCCAGTTAACAGAGTAAGTGCGAAATAAATTGATCTTCATGAAAGGGTTGTATGATTTGGAAAATATGGAGGTATTTTTTATCTCCCTATAACATCTCAGCTCTGAGAATACCACATCCTCTAGCAAAAATGTCTCATCATTTTCATTAATGTCTCTGTTCTCACCTGCTAGTCAGAGCTTCCTTATATTCACAGGCTTCTGCCATTTAGCTCACATCCAAAGAAAACGTATCAGGAATTATTTAAATGAATCCTGCATAATCCTACTTCCTGTATTTTTTTTCCATGGATATACAAAAAAAAAAAAGGGAATCAACAAATTATGACTGTATGTGTTTTGCATTTGCTTGTATGACTTTTCCCTGACTATTGTTTTTCCATGTAGAGGAAGAATAGCCTCCAGAAAATTAAAATAGAGGCAGTCTGACATACAGTAAGAGCAGACAACTTGGAGGAGATAACAGAGTTTGAATCACATCTTGGACATTTAATCTACCCATAATGTTAAGCTTGTCACTTAAATCCATTATGCCTTTATGCGTGCAGGTATAAAATAGGACAAAATATACTCTTTTTAAATTTTTGTAATTTTTTAATATTTTGAAGGTACATGGTAGGTTTATATATTTATGGGTTACATAAGGTATTTTGATACAGCCATGCAATGTGTAATAATCACATCAAGGTAAATGGGGTATCCATCTTCTCAAGCATTTATCCTCTGTATTATAATCAAACTATACTCTTTTAGTTATTTTAAAATGTCCAATTCAATTACTTTTGACTAGAATCACCCTGTAGTGCTAGTGAATGCTAGGTCTTATTCATTCTATATTTTATACTTACTAACCATCTTCACTTCTCCTCCTCTCCCAGCTACACTTCCCAGCTTCTAGTAAACATCCTTCTACTGTCTATCTCCATGAGTTCAATTAAAAAAAATAGCTCCCACAGATAAGTGAGAACATGTGAAGTTTGTCTTTCTGTGTTTGGCTTGTTTCACTTAACATAATAGCCTCCAGGTCCACCCATGTTATGCTAATGACAGGATCTCATTCTTTTTTATGGCTGAGTAGTACTCCACTGTGTATATGTATCACATTTTCTTTATGCATTCATTTCTTGATGGAAACTTAAGTTGCTTCCAAATATTGGCTATTGTGAATAGTGCTGCCATAAACATGGGAGTGGAGATATCTCTTAAATATACTGACTTCCTTTCTTTTGGATATATGCCTAGGAGTGGGATTACTACATCATAAGTTACCTCTATTTTTAGTTTTTGAGGAACCTCCAAACTATTCTCCATGTGTTTATATTAATTTACATTCTTACCAACAGTGTACAAGGATTTGCTTTCCTCCACATTCTCGCCAGAATTTTTTACTGCTTGACTTTTGAAAAAGAGCCATTTTAACTGGGAAAGAAGATGTATCATTGTAGTTTGTATTTGCATTTCTCTGATAATTAATGATGCTTAGCACCTTTACATATACTTGTATTTATACTTTTGAAAAATATCTACTTATATTTATTCTTTGGAAAAACATCTGTACAGATTTTTTTGCCCATTTTTTAATTGAGTTACTAGATTTTTTACTGTAGATTTTTTGAGCTCCTTACAATATTCTGGTTATTAAGCCCTTACCATGTGAGTAGTTTGCAAATATTTTCTTTCATTCTGTGGGTGTCTTTTCACTTAATTGATTGTTTCCTTTGCTGTGCAGAAGTTTCTCAGCCTGATGTGGTCCATTGGTCCATTTTTGCTATGGTTGTCTGTGTTAGGCATTACTCAAGAAATCTTTGCCAGTCCAATGCCCAAGAGAGTTTCACCAAAGTTTTCTTGTAGTAGTTTCATAGTTTGAGGTCTTAGATTTAAGTCTTTAATCCATTTTGAGTTGATTTTGGTATATGGTGAGAGATAGGATTGTAGTTTCATTTTTCTGTATATAGATATCCAGTTTTCCCAGCATCATTTATTGAAGACTGCCCTTTTCCCAGTGTATGTTCTTGGCACCTTTGCCAAAAATGGGTTCACTGTGTACATATGGATTTATCTCTGGGTTCTCTATTGTGTTCCACTGATTTATGTATCTGCTTTTATACCAGTACCATGCCATCTTGGTTACTATAGCTCTATAGCATAATTTGAACTCAGGTAATGTGATTCCCCAAGTTCTCTTTTTTGTTTCATTTTCTTTTGCTTATGATAGCTTTGGTTATTCTGGGTATTTTTTGTTTCCGTATAAATTTTAATATTGTTTTTTCTATCTCTGTGAAGAATGTCATTGGGATTTTGATAGGGATTGCATTGAATCTGTAGATTGTTTTGGGTAGTATAAACATTTTAACAACATTGATCCTTCCAATCCATGAACATAAAATGCCTTTCCATTTTTTAGTGTCCGCTTTAATTTCTGCACCAATGTTTTATAGTTTTTATTGTAGAGATCTTTCACTTCGTTGGCCAAATTAATACCTATGTATTTAATTTAATTTGTAACTAAGGTCAATTGAATTACTTTCTTGATTTCTTTTTCTGATTGTTCACTATTGGCATGTAAAATCCTACTGATTTTTCTGCGTTGATTTCCTTTCCTGCAACTTTACTGAATTTGTTTATCAGTTCAAATAGTTTTTTCGGTGGAGTCTTTAGGTTTTTCCAAATATAAAATCAGATTATCTGCAAACAGGGATAATTTGGCTTCTTTCTTTCCAATTTGGATGCCCTTTATGTCTCTCTTGTCTGATTGCTCCAGGAGGACTTATAGTACTGTGTTGAATAAAAGTTGTGAAAGTGTGCATCCTTGTTGTGTTCCCAATCTTGGAGGAAAGGGTTTTGGTTTTTCCTCATTTAGTTTAATACTAGCTGTGAGTCTGTTGAACACCGCCTTTATTTTGTTGAGGTATAATCTTTCTATATCCAGATTTCTAAGGCTTTTTATCATAAAGGGATGTTGAATTTTATCAAATGCTTTTTCAGTATTAATTGAAATGATCATATAGTTTTTGTTCTTTATTTTGTTAACATGACATATCACATTAATTAATTTGTGTATGTTGAAGCATCCTTGCACCCCTAGGATAAATCCCAGTTGGTCATGATGGATGATCCTTCTAATGTGTTGTTGAATTTGGTTTGCTTGTATTTTGTTGAGAATTTTTGCATCAATATTTATCAGATCCATTGGGCTGCTGTTTTCTTTTTCTGATGTCACTTTGTCTGGTTTTGGTATTAAGATAATACTGGCCTCATAGGATTGGAAGTATTCCCTTCTCTATTTTTCAGAATAGTTTGAGTAGAAATGATATTATATCATCATTAATTGTTTGATAGAAATAAGCAGTGAAGCCATCAGATACTGAGCTTTTCTTTACTGAGTGACTTTTTCATACGGCTTACTCTCGTTACTTGATATTTATCTATTCAGGTTTTAAATATCGTCATGGTTCAAGTTTAGGTTGCATGTGTCTAGGAGTTTGTCCATTTCTTCTAGATTTTCCAATTTATTTGCATATAGTTGCTTATAGTAGTCACTAATGATCCTTTGAGTTTCTGCAGTATTGTTGTAATGCCTCCTCATTCATCTCTGATTTTATTTATTTTTGAACTTCTCTCTTTTTTTCTTAGTCTGGCTAACAGTTTGTCTATTTTATTTAACTTTTCAAAAAAAAAAAAAAAACCAACCTTATGCTTCATTGATCTTTTACGTTGTTTTCTTCATTTCTAATTCATTTATTTCTGCTTTGATCTTTACTATTTCTTTTCTTCTACTAATTTTGGATCTGGTTTGCTCTTGCTTTTCAA